TGGCTCTTTCCCGCGGGCCTCCCCTCCCACCTCAAGCTCTCCTGTAATTAAAACAGGGCTTCGGAGGAGCTGAGGTTGCTGGGCGTTCGAGGCACCCGGACGGGCGCTTCAGGTACACCTGGATGGCGGACGAAAATCGGGTCTGCAGGCCGCCTCCCACAGCCCTGGGCGACCCGCAGTGGCTGCTGGGCTTGCACCGCAGCCGCCTCCGAGGGCTCCCCGAGCCCGACCGGCGTCGGTTGGCGGCTTTGCTCGGCCGTCAGTCCACAGGGTGACCCCCGCCCCATCGTTTGCTCACCCGCAAGCTCCAGCACAAGGGGAACGCGGCTAAGACTCCGGAGAGTGGTTTCCTGGCCCCTTCGCACCTTCCAGTTCCTGTCCTGCCTTTCTCTGCTGAAGACCCATCTCGGGGGGTTGCACACGGGTCAGTTTGGCCCGGGCTGCGCTGGCTCCCTGACTTCACTGCCCATCAGCGCCACAGTTGTGAGCCCAAGGCTACTAGGGGGCCGGCCACACAGCGTCATGGCATCACAGCACATGGCCACACGGCCACATGACCACAAGGCCACACGGCCACACAGCGTCACGGCATCACAGCCACATGGCCATATGGCCACATGACCACACAACCACACAATCACACGGCCACACAACATCACGACATCATGGCCACACGGCCACACGACACATGGCCACAAGGCCACATAGCCACACAACCACACGGCCACACAGCATCACGGCATCACAGCCACATGACCACACACAGTCACACGGCCACACAACATCACGACATCATGGCCACACAGCCACATGGCCACACGGCCACATGACACACAACCACATGGCCACAAGGCCGCATAACCACACAACCACACGGCCACATGGCCACACAGCTTCACGGCATCACAGCCTGTCTGTGGATGCTTGGGAGTTGCACTCGGCGCCTTCTGCTCCCATAGACTTGGGGGTGGGGGGGTGTGCAGGGCACACCACTGGCTTCGGCTCCCAGGGCCTGTGTCCACAGGAGATAGCGGTGCCCAGGGTTGGCTGGTGTCCATCTTCTGTGGGCGGGATTTTTACCAGCGCTCGCGGGGAGGAGGTGGGCCTGAAGGTCAGCAGGGAGAGCACATCGGGGCATTCTGGAACGCAGGTAGAGTGCGTCTTAGCCACAGAAGTGCCAGCTGGCCAGCACCCTGTGGTTCGGGGCCGCGAAGGCCTCGTCTAGCCCTGGGCTTGCGTGTTAGCGACGGTCGCAGGCCGTGTTCCCGCTCCTGCAGGGCGCCGGGCGGTTTCATCGCTGACTCGTCTCAGCGTGACGTGCAGGCTGTTTGTAAATGGGCCACGCTTCAGGTCACCCTACCTCCCGCTGGGCTGGCGAGCTGGCTTCCTCACAGCCCGGGCCAGGCCCCTCCGGCTTCCGTTATTTGGATGCCGCTTTCCCCTGGCGTTGGTTTCCGTGCGAGTCCCCCATGGAGCATCTGGCTCGGTGACGTCTGTTCCGGTCACGTCGGGTGGACAGCGGCGGAACCTTGATGCTCCCACGGCCAGAATTCTGTCCAGGGCTGCTCGGCACACTGGACCTCGACACTTTTTTTCGACTTTCAGTTGGTGGTTTGGATTCCCGGGAAGTAGCCGGCACCCAGGTTGAGATTGATGTCCCCTCCAGTCATCCAAGACAGCTTCCCTTGCAAAGAGCTGCAGCTGACGTTATTTCGGAGACTCTGCACAGATGGTGAATAGAAATAGCTAGAAACCGCGAAGGTCTAGGAAAGGCGTGGCTGGCCGCTGACTGGACAGCCTTCTCCTTGGCCCTCTCCACACTCACACGCTTTCTGCGCTGACTCTTCATGGTCCTCCTGACATGCTGGCCAGGGTGGCGCCTCGCCTGGAGCCTGGGCACACCCCAGAAGGCAGCTGGCGCTTTCCCGCTCCTGTGCCGAGGAGGGGTGGGCCTGTGTCCTGCTGGCCGAGCTGAGCGGGTGCGGCCGGCCCAGTGGGGACATGTCACCTGCCTCTGTCCAGCTCAGAGCGGCCGTCCCGTCCCGCTCGACAGCGAAAGCCGGTATTGGCTTCTGCTAGACCCTGTGCTAATACGGCGCTGATAAGCAAGGGCGTAGGGAGAGACACATTCGTTGTTTCCATCAGTGGGGTGCACTGGCCAGCGCCATTATTTCATGACAGTTTTAGTGCGAGGACTTGTTCAATCACGAGCTCAAAGATGGCTTGAGGAGCCTTTGATGGAAAAGACAACTGTATCAAATTAGCACCAGATTAGATTTTCGTCTTTATAAAGGGAAGCAGCCCCACGAGCCGATTGGAAATGGATGTGTTCTCGTCCACAATGAACAAATTCGGTTTGAGGGTGAAAGAAGCGATTATTTTGTCCTTTAGGCTGACAGCTTTCGTTACAGATCAGCCTGCTATTGGCATTAAAAAAAGGTTTGGCTCCTTATGATTTTTGCACATGCAACTCTAATATTAATGTAGCGCCATAGCGCTGCTCATTAAGAAATGACTTTAAACGAGGGCGAAGCGTGTACGTGGGGAAAGGTACAGATGTTCCAGACCGTCGTTTCCTCTATGAATCCGGCCGTATGGCTAATAATTTCCAAGTGGCGAAAGCTCTTGTTAGCAGGGGTGCTGGTGTGTTAAGAATGGCTCTATAAATAACCGGAAGAACCCAAGTTGAAGGTGCTTCTTTTAAAGACGATTGTTAACTAAACATCATTGCCAAACAGATGGAAAGCGTTCGCTAGCCTGATGTTTTTAGGTCTAATTATATTACCACCAGCCCCGCACGGCTCAGTTGAAGAGGTGTATCCAGGGGCCAATTTATAATCATTTAGCCAACACCTGTTTGGGAGAAACTGACAGTCAAAGGGCACATTTAAAAAAAATCACATATGTTCTTGTGTTTATTGCCGCAATGTGAACGCGGTCTAGTTGCAAACAAACTTGGTAGGAGAAGAGAGCAAATGTAAACACAGCGGCCCTTCCCGGCCGCGGGTATCAATCTTCATTTGGCCTTTTGATCGCGGGCCCGTCAGGCCTCACGGCTGAGTGCGGCCGGCCGAGCGGGCCCCGGCTTGCAGGGGCATTTCTCCAGCCGGGCGGTTTCCGGCCGCAGCAGGAAGTCGCCGTGCCCGCGTGCCATCCCTCTACCTGGCGGGACCCGTTTGGGTGGCGCGGACCCTGTTTAGGTGGGTCAGGCGCTCTGCTGAGTGGCTTGCGCCAGCCGCTCCGGGTGTCAAAACAGAGGCTGCCTAAGGGCCTCTGTGTGGGGGTCGGGGAGTCCCGGGCCCTGTGCACAGGCCAGCTGCGGGGGCCTCCTGTCGCCCTCACTGTGTATCCATCGAACTGTCTGGGGGCTCTGCAGGGTCAAGATTTGGGGGTGCATATCAAGCGGAAATTGCAGGGGTTCAGGCCCACCCTACCCGAAACTAGTTTGAGCCTCGGGTTCCTCCCCCTCCTTTCACCTGAGTGTCTCTGCTCCTCCTGACGTCCTTCTCTGCGGAAGGATTTATGGGGTCACCCCCATTTTGCCCCCCCACACCCCGTTGATACCTCAGAGCGGCCTGGCTCCTGGCTCGCCAGCTCCCGGCACAAAGGGCCTTCTCCGTCCCCTCGCTGCCCCGTTGCTCAGTCACAGACGGTCACCCTTGGGGCTGATGTCTGGTGGACCCTCACTGTTGCAGCTCGAAGTTAAAAAGTTCAGGTTGGGCCTGGGCTTGGTCATGGCTGTGCAGGCAGCGGGCTGGGGGTGGGGTGGGGTGTGGGGCGACGCAGGGAGCTCTGGGGGCGTCTGAGAAGTGGGGTTCGTCCTGCTTTCCGTGGGACAGGATGTGGGAAGGTTCAGGAGGTCTCTGTGGGAGTCGCCAGTGGGAATGGAACGGAGGCGCAACACACGGCCGGGGAGCGGCCGAGACGCCCTTTATTGCTCAGCGGATAGTGTGAGAATGGAGCATCCGGAAGTTTCCTCCTCCTCAAGTCGACTCCTGCTGTTAATGCTCCGGCTTCTTCTCCACATTGTTCATCTTCTGAAGCTCAGTGTCTTTATCCGCCCTTGGCTGCCGGCTCTCCGCAGTGTGAAAAACATCCTGCCTGTGAGGCTTGCGGATTTCTGGGTACCCCGGTGTGGCCACATTCGGACTCTGACGGCCTTTGCGTGACCGCGGCTGGGCTGAGGCCTCGAGGGCCTGCGGACCCCAAGCTTCTGAGCAGCTGGGGCCTCCTTAAGAGGTTCGCCCACCCGCGCCCCTGTAAATGGTCACTTGCTGCCTGCCGGTCGGCGTGGGGCGGGCAGCGTGCGCCATCAGGAAGGCCAGCTTTTGGATTAAGGGTTTTCTCGGGGCGCGAGGAGAGCCGTGAGCCAACGTGGTGCAAAGTGGCCCCTGCCTGCTGTTTGGGGGACAGACCCCAGGCGGCGGGGACGCGAGCAGAGAAGCCCTTCGCGGGGCCAGTAGAGGTTCGGCAGGGCGAGCAGGCTGCGTGGGGTGTTCAGCTCCTGGAGCCGCTCGGACGATGGAGCTGACGGGGATCTCCTGGGGCGAGAACGGAGTTAAGGGTGAGCCCAGGTGGAGAAGCGCAGGTTCTGCCAGCCTTTGGCTGTGGCCTGCGTTACCGAGGTCACGTTATGGCAAGTTTTAGGGAGGGAGAAAATCGCAAGTTTAAAATCTGTAATTAAAAAAAAAAAAAAAAAACAAGTCCCTTAACTTGCATGTTCCCCGAGACAATTCTTGGCCTAAAAGACTTTTCTTTGCTTTTGGGAAACATGTAGAAACGAATCTAGGAAGCACATAAATGTTTTAGAAAGAAAACCATGTTAAAACTCAGTGTAGAGACGGTGACTTTAATCCTGTGCTTTAAGAAAAGATTCATCTATTCAGAAGTTAATACGGGGGAGTCGGTTCTGACTTGTCCTCAAACCCTGTCAGACAGGGTGTTGTGAGTTAGTGCTTCATTGAATCCTAAATCAATTATTACTTGTGTCTTTCTTACAGGTTTTGCTTGTAATGGACACAAGGACAGAACAGACGTTCATCTTAAAAGTAAGTGGTTTTGTATGTTTCGTGACTTCAGAAATTCACTGTTTTTATTTTTTAAAAGATTGACCTATGCACGCAGAACCGGGGTCCAGGCCAGAGGCGCAGGGGCGGTGAGAGGCTTCCCCAGAGACAGAGCGGGGAGCAAAACAGGCCGACGGATGAAGTCCTCTGCTGAGGGGAGCAGTGGGCTGACCAGAAGGGGTCTGCTGCGCCCTGGGGGTCCCCTCCGGGGCGGGGGATCGAACTCACGCTGAAGCGGCTGCGGCCGGCTTGCAGGGCTGCGTCCTCACCCATTGTGCCACCAGCTGGACCCTCAGGAATTTATTTCAAATTATGTTTCTGAAACAAAAAAACAGCATTTGGTATTTGCAGGTTATTTGGTATTTGGTATTTGCTTGTGGCGGTCTGTACCACGCCGGCTCAGTTGCCGAATACTCCCCGGCCTGCACTTTAAGAACCTCAGGTCAGAGCGTGCAGAGATGACGTGAACGTATCGATGGTTTCATACACTCAGTGACTAAGCGGAACAGGAGAGAAAAACCGGCCCGTTGTACAGTTTCAGGCTGCATTTGAAATCCACTGGGACAGTGCTTCTCTGAAAAAACACTCAGATTTGGGGCCTCCCTGGTGGTGCAGCGGGTTAAAGTGCAGCGCTCTGAAGCTTTCCGAAGCTACTGCAGCGCGAGTTCGATCCCCGGCCAGGGAGTGACCCACAGGGCGCGGCAGACCCCTCCTGACTCGCCCGCTGCTCCCCTCAGCAGTGCACTTGG